ACGGAAGGTCAGAGGAGAAGTGGACGAGCCTCTAAGCACCTGTCTGGCCGGCGTTGCGTTTCACAGACCCTGCGCCACTCCAGACGGAGACGTGCGCCCGGCCCGGGTAAGACACCCGGCTGAGTGGCCCCCAACCAGCGGTGTGACCTCCAGGAGTGTCCGGTCCTGAGGCCTCGGCTTCCTCATCCACAAGGGACCCCGGATCCCACCTTCTTCGGGGCTGTTGTGAGAACTGAGGGGGTGATGGAGGTAACGGAGAGCTCAGCACCTTCAGGGGCAAAAATCACCGTCCATCATCGTCGTCCTTGTTTTCGCGAGAGACCTGGGTGCAGCTGGGGGCTGGGATGGTGGCCGGGTGCTGAGTGTCCGACAGTCCCCGTCCCCCACCCAGGTGGGGCCACTGCTTTCAGGCTCCGGTGACAAGGGCGCGGGGAGGGTGAGCAGGCACCGGCCGGCACTGCCCGGGGAGCTTGGCCCGAGTCCAGGCCACACAATGCTCAGAGGGACGCTGGGCACTCAACAAAGGCCACACGGGGGGAGCGAAGGGGACATCAAACCTGGGACGGCAGTGCTCGGGGGCTGGGGGCACCTGCTTCCGCATGTATTTACAGAAAGACGCTCACTCCGCCCCAGAGTGGGGCTGCCCAGGGCCTCACTTATTCCTGGGGAACCTCGTCCGGACAGGATTTATTTTCTTTAAACAGTGAGAACTTGAGACATGGAGCCAGGGCAGTGGGGGTGAGCAGAAGGACCGGCACAGGACCTCTTCTCTCTGCACATGCTGCGGCTATTCTCCTAGCCCCCCGCGCTTCTGCCATGGGGGCGCTTCTCCAACAACCAGGGAAGCGACGGGTCTCACTGGGGCCTGAGAAAACCCGGGTGACTCTTCACATGGGGACGAGTATGTGGGCCGGGCGAGACGGTTATGGTGACGTCTCCCACCGGGAGTGGACGCCTGCTCCGGCCGGATGCCAAGCACAGGTTTGTTTTTGGTGTTATCACTTAGAAAAACACGCCTGTCAGCGCCGCCTGTTTTGACTCTGAAGGTAATGCACCGTTAGTGAGTGAAGGTCGGCCCTGCGGGGGGCTGCGGCCCAGGCTCCGGGGAAGGCCCCGCAGCCCAGGCTGGAGAGCACGGGGCTTACGACCACCCGGAGCTGAGGGACCCCCGTCCCATCACCACCCACATCTCTGCTGTGGGATGGTCGGCGGCTCCTCAGTCCCGACGAGATGGGGTTGTGCAGAGGATGCGAAAAAATCACTTTTGGGCGTCAGGGTGAATGCTGTCCTTTGGAGACAGAGGCCCCCAGACACAGCGGCTTAAAGAAGAGCAGTTTCTTTCTCCCCCCGCCCCGCCCCCCAGGTCTCACCAGGGCACCGAGGGTCCAGGCTGGGGCGTGTGAATAGAATCTCGCAGTCGGGTCTGGGGGTCGCTAAGGGCAACCTACCTGGCTGGAACGTGAGACGCAAACCAGGTGCTGCCTGTCTCCCTGGACGGACGACTCCATCTCCGACTCCATCTCCCCTTGGCTCCTTCTCTTCGGACGGACGTGGCCTGAGGACAGTCTCAGATCTAGTGGCCCAGGGGGTCCAGCCTGGGGCCTGCAGCCCCAGGGCTCTGCTCCACGCTGGCCCCCGCTCAGGCATGGAGTGGGGCCGGCCCCGCACCCTCGACTCTGCAGGGTACCCAGTCCTCTGTGTCGCACTCACTTCAGGGAGACACAGTAAGTCGTCCAATTCCACCCCCTTTGTGCCTCGGTCCCTCTCTCCTGGTGACAGACACGCAGCGTTTCCGGTCGGCTCTCAGCCTGTCTGCAGACAGAACCACAGCCGTGGCCCGAGATGGGCCCCCGTGTCACTGACCCTTCACCGGACACGAAGCTGGTGCCTCCGGGAAACGCAGAGCTGCAGGGACAGTTCCGCGGAGGATTCCACTCAGCCCTCCCCAGGTGGCGCGAGGGAGGCTGGGCTGTGAGATCCCAGGGAAGTGTCAAGACCACTAAGTCTCACTGCGCTTTGACCTGCGCGGGGCCGCACACGCTCTCCAAGGGTTTCTGGTAAAAATACCCATCAGAGGTGGCTTCAGACCGAATGTCAAACTCAGTTAGAGGGACGAGCCTCTTCCAAGTCATCATGAGTATCGGCTGCAACAATCCAGGGCCTGCCGGCTGCCCCCCCTCCCCCACTGATGGATCTAGCAACTCCGGGACTGTTGTTCCAAGGGCTGGCGGCTCGGCCCCGCTCCCGCACCGTGACCCCCGCTGGCCGTGCCTGGGGCTTTCCAGAGCCTCCCTCCCGCCTCCTTTAAAAACCACACGTGGCCACCGATGAGGACGTTTTGAAGATGACGTCCTGTGTCTGCTTGACCCGTGTGACGATTACCTGGGTGCGTTCAGCTGTAGGAATGGATCCCAGTGCGCTCTGTCTGGGATGCCAGTCCAGTTAAATATGAATATATGTTTATATTCCCTGGAATGTCAACCATTATTTTTGTAAAGTTCTTCCAAGTAAGAGGTTAACGAGGGAGGTGTGGTTTGCCATAAGGAAGTAGTTGCCTCAAAGAAGTCTTGGTTCTGTAGGTTCTGTATGTTTGGATCCGGTCCCTGGGGATCTTTTACAAGACCCTGAGAAGTCTGTGTGGTGAAAGGGGAGGGGATGACTCCGGCTCACCTGAGCGGAGGTGGGGGATGAGGGGCGGGGCGAGGGGAGGGCTGGACCACCCAGGTGCATGCAGTGTGAAGGGCTTTGCAGCTCTTGTACTACCACTCTGTAATAAAGGTGATTATTAACACCCAGAACGGATGTCTGCAGGTTATTTTCTGGCTGCAAACATCCCCGAAGACTCAGTTGTCCAGAAGGAGGCTAATTTCTAGAACACACATGTGCTGCTTCTCAGGGTTAAATCCCCCAGGGTGCAAAGCTTGAGTGACGTGTGTGTGTGTGTGTGTGTGTGTGTGTGTGTGTGTGTGTGAGTGGCGACTGGCTGCCTGGATTCCCATGGTCGTCTCTCTCTGGAGCAAACCCTGAGGGTGACCCTGGGTTACGGACGGTGGGGTGTGGCCAACAGCACAGACCCTGGGGCCACTCCGCCTGGGTTCAAACCTGCCTCCACCAACGGGGGCTTTGCGTCCAGCAAGCAGCTTTCAGACGAAGAAACGGCAGCTCCCAGGGCTGCTCTGAGGCCGAAGGGAGTTAACCAAGCCCTTGGGAGAACTGGTAGAGCGCGGCAGGCAGCTCGACCACAACAATTAGATGCCGTGAGATGGCTCTGCCCCTCCGTTCTAACAGCGAGTGACATACATTGTTTCACTTCGTGCGTAGAGACATGTGATGCCCACGTTGAGTCGGAAGCTTCAAGCATCCCACTGAGGACGCTGGACCACTCCAGGAAACATCCGGACAGGAAATGTATCTGTTTGCCTGGAATTCCTTCGACTCCCTCCCCAGTCCAGTGCCCCCACCCCCGCCGGAGCTCCCGTCTCCCGTCTCCTGAGAACAGAACGGCAATGCACAAATGGCGGGCTGCACATATCAATGTTTATTGAAATACTGGGGGGGGGGAATAAACATTTTGTTGACAAATTCCTGGCAAGAACGGACATGACAATGTGCATTTCACTGGTACAGTAAGAAGACGTCAGCACGTAACTGATGGCACACTCTGGACGTGGGTTTGGGCCCCAGGCAGCAGAGTGTGCGGACACTTGGACATCCCAGGTGTCTGCGGGCAGACGGACTCACTGCCGTCAACCAGGCTGAGCCGTAACCCTTTCTCTCGGGTCTGCTTTTCCTAAGAAGTCCTGTCATGCGTCGGAGACGCAGTTGCTAAGGAGCTGTCTGGTGACCAAGGTCAACGATGAACACTGGGGACGTTTTACCTGCCGGCTCCGGGGGGGCCACCAGCAGTGTGGAGGGGCCTCTCTGTGTTGCCCAGGGTGTAGTTCACTAGGCTGACAGCACACTCATGTTCAACATTTTTTAGGTTCCTTATGCACTGGGGAGGGTTTTTGTTTGTTTGCAATGTTCACGACCCTCCGAATAACTTCCCCTCAGTCTCCTGAGTGTCCTCCGTACGTGACAGAACCGTTTCATTGGCTGTTGATGCTCCTCCCCCGCGGTGTCTTCCGGCTAACCGGGTGTGAACCGGAGAGAAGTACGCAGCTGCCCTGCTTACTGCTTTGGACACGGGCTCCGATCCACCCCTTCCTGCCGTCCCGTGGGCCGAGACTCTGCGTGAGGGAGGGGCTGCGGACACTCAGCGTGATGAATGTGTACCCTTCAAATGGACAAGGAGGAGAGGTGGTTGACCGAAATAACAAAACAACCCTCTTTGCACACACACAGAAGTAGTAACTAATATCTTTGGTCTACACCTTACGATGCTCGGGCAGGAGAACCAGGAGAGATGCCGCCCTCGCGAAACTCGCTTGAAAACAGGAAGCCACAAGTCACATAACTTACAATAGACGTTAAATAAACTACAGAAATAATTAGGAAGATTTACAGACATGTAATCAAGTGAACGATTTTAATTCATTAAGACCCTTCTCTGTCCCTGAACCGTGTTCCACCAACTTGAAGACATGTCGCAGTGCACACACACAAACACACACACATATTTGGTTTCTTTCTTCTTGGCTGTATCTGTACAGAGGCGAGACCAAGGAGCAATAAATTAGCATCATAGTTGTCTACAGTGGAAACTATGATATACAATATAAATAAACTATTCCAAAGCCAGAAACATTTATGAAAAAATTAAGGGACTAGAAGATACTTATTTTTTTTTTTTTTACAGTTTCTACAAGTGATTGTGCCGCTGATAATCTCAAAAAAAAAAAAAAAAGAAATCAAAGTCTTAAATGCAATTCCCGTTTTTGATTTTAGTGTCTCACGACGATAATTCAGCACTTTTCAAAACAATCACCAATCCGAGAAATGGCATTAAGGACGTGACTGCTTGAGCTACTTTGTCCTATCACAGCCCCTCCCCACCCGCCCACAGGACCTAAAGAATGTAAACACTATATTTTAGGTGACTTTTAAAGTGTTCATACTTTATTTTAAATGTTGATTCACATCGGCACAGCCCCCGTCCAGATGTGTGAAATAAGGCAAGACTTCCATCCCTGGGTCATTGCGTGTCAGGGACGCCGAGAGCGGCCTTTGGCAGGCGGTTCGGCGGTTCTCTGCCCGCCAGGGTTGGTTCTCCAGACTTCAGTCTGTGATGCAGAAAGGTCAGGGTCGCTCTCTTCCTTTCCTGTGCGGCAAGGCCCTACATCATGCTCACGTCTTTCCAGCCACAGGTAAAACCCTCGTTTCCGCCCCGTGTTAGGGGACATCCGAGCGAGTTGACTGATTGATCAGTTCACCTGTCTCTCCTGTCTGCATGGCTTCCAGTGTGCTCCGGTTGCTTTAAACTTTTTACAACTGTGACGAGGAGACATCGCAGCCAAAGAGGACGTGTGTTTTCTTTTTAAATGGACTGTGAACTTGGATGCATGTAGAGACTGACGTATCCTCGCAAGCCTTCCAGCCAGGAATTTTTCAATGAAATCCAACCATGCCAAAGCCGCGTTTTGGGAACAGTAGCAGAAATAAGGTCTAGCTTGCTTCGGCGGGGGGGTGCCTGTGTTTGAAAGTGTGTAGTCATTTCCCTTAACACTGACGAACGCTATTTGTGTTCGATCAGAACAGGGATACTGCCTGCTTTTTTTAAACATTATGAACACGTGACAAAACAAACCAGGACATATTTAAGCGGCAAGCTCATGTGTGTTGCTGGACTGTTCTTTTTAGCTCTTGGCCCGTCTCAGACACAGACACTGAAGATCAGGCTTTTTGAGATTTGGCGGAGCTGGTAGTGGCTGTGGCTGCGTCCTTGGTACAAGCTCCACGATCGCAGGACAGAAGGTGCCAGGTCCTTGAGGGGAAGAGGGAGGGACTGTTCCAGGGGTAGCCGACGGGGCCTCGAGCAGAGTTTCAGGTCGGCTTCACCGAGGAGGAGCTGTGGAGCTCAGATCGCCGCTGCAGGGGCCTAGTTAGCGGCTTCCTTGCAGAGGGGCGCTGGAATGCCCAGCGATGGCGCGGACGGCCCTCTGTCTCCTGGGTCCGTCTGAGGGCTCACTGCACTCTGCAGCAGCCTCCCCCGTGGCCACCTTGGGGGCCTCGAAGCCCTCGATTCACAGTTGACAGTACAAATACCCTGATACATCACTTGTTTGCTATGAAGTATTTGATTATTACACCTTTTCCAACTCGGTCCCTTGGAGTCCAGTTTTCCGCTGGTGCGGCTGGGAGCAGTTCAGAGTGTTTTCCTTCCTTCGTTCTTCCCGTTCCCCCCGCCCACCCCTGCCAGCCCCTCCTCCCGATCCCGGAGCGGAGCTGGGCAGGGGCGCCGGGGCTCAGGCCCTCTTGGCGTGCAGCATCTCGATGAGGAGGTTGTTGTACGGCACGTCGCCGTTCAGGTGCTTGTAGTACAGGTACTCCTCTGCCTGCACGCTGAGGGCCCGGATCTCCGGCAGGCGTAGCAGCAGCTGCCCGAACTTCTCCGCCTGCTGCGGGTAGTTGCAGGTGGTGTAGTCCAGCAGGGCGGCGTTGACTTGCTCCTGTACCCCTTCCACCAGCTGGAAGTTCTCCAGGTTTTTGACATCTGGATTTAAAGAAAAAGAAAAAGAAAAGAAAAAAGAAAACAGAGCATGTGATTTCCATGGCGTTTCATTTCTGTGTCCTACTGCTGTGGGCTCCGTTCAGGGAGGTGTTTTCCTCCCGACAGGCGGCGCCGTCAGCCCCACGCACCCAGGTCCCCGGGCGGGTGGTCAGAAATGGGCCTCGGGGAGAGCGCCTGTTTGGAAGTCTGCCTGTACCTCCTGTCAGTCAGACACCGGCGGGTTTGGGGCAAGGTCAGCTTTTTGCAAGTGTCACCGAAGGAAAGGGTTCAGGTTTGGGAGGAAGAGGGACCGTCACAGTGCTGGCAAATGGGTCCCCAGAGGGAGACCCATCTTGGCCAGTGTGTCGCGGGGTTCCTGCAATTCTGCATTAATTCTCCTGACCCAAGGTGAAGTCTGTGCCCAGGGTCTGATGTAGTGAATTCTAATAAGAAGTGACAGGGTTCTTGTTTCTGTTTGACATTTTCCAAATGACTCTGAACGCCTCCGACTCGCCGAGCCTATGCTAATGGGCCATCTGGCACACTCCAGTGACCGCCGGCAGGGCCTGGCTCCCGGGGAGGGCTCAGACGCACATCTCAGCGGCTAATGATCTTGTGCGAACGAACGCCTGGTCCCTTAGGCGGAGCGCCCGCCAGGATGGCCGGTGCCCTTTCACCTGCGTTGGGGGCGGGCTCCAGCCGGACACTTCGCTTTTCTCTGCATCCCGGGCCACTCAGGTAGAGATGACGGACACTGGCCCTTCATTCAGCCAGTGGTCACCTCCTGGTGACCATCCCATTGTTTTAAGGCACTGCCCTCAAGGTCCTTATAGTCACTGAGTGATGGGGGGCAGAGTCTAGACAAAGAGACTGACATCCAAGTCCCCACGCACACAGAGTGAGGGCGGGAAAACGGTCATGGTGCCTTCCTCTTCTGAAGTTTACTGAGAGGTTAACAACTCGGCTTCCAGACAGGGGTCTGCAGAGGCCCCCGGAGGGAAGTGCGGAGACGTGCATACCTGTTTACTCACATCGGGCTGGGGATGCCAACCGAGCCGGCCGCTCCCCACCCTGCCGCTTTCTCGGCTGGCTGGCTGCGTCGTGCCATGACTCAAAAGTTAAGCGTGCAAACTCAGCCTGCAGTTACCACGGCGATGCCTACGCACCGGTTTAGGCACTTCTTGCCGGGAGAGTTAGCCCGGGCAGGGCGCATGCCCCTGCTGGGGCCTCCGGATGCTTCGACAATAAGTCCGATGAAATGGGTTCCTGGTGATTCCCATGTTTACATCTGAGCCGTTAATTTTGGATTCAACATGCTCCCGCCACCCATCCCCCCACCTCTGCCCCAGAGTAAAACCAGTGAGGAGCTGGTGCTGAAACAGCTCCTGTGAGCCTTGGATGCAACATGTATCTCAAGGTGAGATGGGAGAATCAAAAACCGTTGGTTTTTTATTAGTGAAAAGGACGCCGGACGCTGCACCCTTGGGACCTCTGGCCTCTAAGCTGACCGAGCACCCCCACAACGCTCGGCTGGTCCAGCATTCCCATCTGTCTTACTGAAAATATGTGGGCGTGATTCAAAATGGATTAAAAGTACTCACATACAAACTTTGGCTCCATCCTACAAAGTGTAAACCACTGGAAACACCTTGGCTGTGCCGTGCCTGGGTCCACGACAGAAAATCTGACACTGGACTTGGCTGTGTCTCTGCCCGACCTGTTGAACTTCTACAGGTTCACCTGCTTGGGGACATTGGTCCCTCCCAAGTATCACGGCAGAGGACCAAGGTGTTGAACACCAGTTCACCTGGATTCCGACCAGCTTCTCCAGGCTGCCCTTCTCTGCCCTCTGCATAGCCGAGAGGAGACCGGATGTAGCTTCCTCTTGTGCGTAAGGCAAGGGGGTTACGACAGAAAACCAGCAGCATCCAGAGTTACAGGGATTTAAACACATTTGCAGGAAAAAATAGAAATGGAGGGTTATTTTGTGCTGCAATGAAAGCTATTCTCACGGCAAGAAAAGCTGGCAATGGTCACAGAAGTTAAGACGGAGGATGGAGACACACGTGGGAAATGTAAGACACACAAATAATTCTCTTTAGGATGCTGGTTTTGAAACTTTCTTTTTCTGATAAATGTGCTTTTGAGAAACTAGGTTCTGTCTCCTATGATAAATCATGGCACTTCATTAAGAAAGAAAAAAAAAACTACTAAGAAATGTAAACCGAAGCCTGGGTCAAATTCCAGCTTAGCTTATTCTGTTGTTGCAGAGAATAAAGTCTTTAGATAAGCACTTTTGTCTACAACGCTTAAAAATAGACACAGTTCCCTTCCGAAGAAAATGTACAGATTTTCCATACTTGGCCATAGATGCAACTTTTCTCTGAAGTTCATCCGAGTTGAATCCACACAACTGAATTAATAATTATCCATTCAGCTACTTCTCTGAGTTTGTTACTAAATATAATGGGACAGGTGCTGCTCATTTCCCCAAAGGTGGTTGGTCACTGACCTGCTGTCCCTTTTGTTTCTGTGTCCATTCAGACGATTTGTAATTTGGTGGCGAAACCCTGCTATGTAAGCCATAAGGTTAAACGAAGAAAGAGAAAGATTTGGACGCACTCACTTCCTGACCCCACGGTTCCTGGACCTTCGCTCTGCTCTGGGCTCTCCTCAGCTGGGTGTCCCCTTCACCGAATGGCACCCTGTTTTACTAACTGTCCAGTGTGGGGTGAGGACTATGTCTCCTTCAAGGTCCCCGGTCCCCGGAGAAAATGTTTGCTTTGTATTGTTGGCACACTCACCCAAGGGGGATGAAAGTGTGAAAACACCTGTTACGTGAGCTGTCTTACAAGCCAACTTCCTTCCTCTTCCTAAGTCCGAGCCCGCTTTCAAAAGCGGCCGTCCAGACCGGAGCTCTCCCTGACCAACGGGGACACAGATGACACCGCTCTCAGGAGACTTGGCACGTCCCCCTTTCCACCGTTCACTTGTGCCCACTTCTGAGGAAGCGTCAGAAACCTGAGTGTGCTCCCGGGATGCCCGTGGAATTAGCTTTTCTGTGAAGCCACGCCCCTGCATGAAGATTTAAACAGGAGATGCACCGAAGTCACAACTGCGTCCTCTGCGACGTTCCTCCTGCAAACCAGACCCCCCCCCTCCCCCCGGAGAATAGCTGCATCTTAGCTCATCCATGGCAGGAGGTTGTCGCACCAAAAGTCACCAACGGACTGACATTAAATTGCACAAAAAAACAAAATCTGGAGGAAGGACTACCTGTGTGTTCTTGAGGTCGGCTGTTGGGCTCCCACACTCCCACCCAAATGGGGTGCAATAATATGCACCCCATTTGGAATTTAGAGGAGGACCAGAGGTGGTCCCAGGATCCGCAACACTGCACGCCACCCCAGTCTTCTGTGGCTTCTTGGGCTGGATCTCATAGCCGCTCACATTGGGCACGCCTGCGACCTTTGAAATGTATGTACACTTCACTTTCATACAATTAGAAAGCACACGTTAACGAGCCTGAGTGTGACACATTTGGGGTGGAACTCGGCATGTGAACCATCAGAAGCACTTTCTCAGGCCCTGTCTTGGGCGCCGTTAAATTTTGATGACGGGCTGGGCACTTCCTGCTGCTCCTCCAAGTTCCAGTGTCTTAGCTACCCCACTCCGTGCACTTGGGGACTAATTACCCACTTTCTATGTGCGATAAGCTTGCAGTGGGTGCTCAGATGTGTGCCGTCCTCGTTGGAAAGGAAACCCTGAGGTCTTCTTGAATACATTACGGCCCAACTGTGTGGGGCCGTGTGCAGCGCCGGGCACCGTCTGTGGAGGGAGACGCTGGTTTCTGCTGTCCTGGCCCCTGCCAGGTGGCTCAGCCGGGACCCCCAGCCCGGTCAGCGCTTTCCAGCGGCTGGTCCTTTACTGAGCAAGGGGTGGAGTACGGGCTGGGTGCCCCCCACGGAGGGTGCTGTCTTCTGAGAAGACTAATATCTTTGTTAGTTTTTCACACGAGTAGGGGGGGAAAGTCCCATCTGGCCCTTTAAAAGATAGGAAAGTGAGGACCACTTCCCCTTGAGGTTTTCGGAAGGAGGACAGTCTGCAAACTGGCACACTCTGTCCTCAGGAAACCCTGTGCTTTGAGATAAACCAGGGCCGGGGAGAGGAAATGCATTTTCTGCAAGGAGTTCATTTTGAAAATCAGTTTAAAGGGCGCCATTGAGGTACTTTGTGAAGCGAATCTGGTAGGAATGGTTGGAGAGCCACATGCTGGGCCCCTCCGTCCACTTGCCACTTGCCGGAGCGCGGCGGCTGTTTGGGGGGCTGGAGGCGGAAGGCCGGGCGGTTCCCAGAAAAACGGGACACCCACGGCTTCCGACTCATCCCGGTTAAGTCCTTTGCACACGTGTCTTCCGAGCCTGCTCTGTCTCCTGTTCTTTTCCATTCCGTCCGCCCGTCACGCAGGATTGGGTGTCACCTGGTTTCCTGATGGACACACGCCAGTGGGAGGGCCCCGGGAAGGACGCACCACCTTCGCCCGCCCCGCACGGTGCCCGGACAGAGTGCAAACCCCTTCCACGACCGTTGATGGAAAGACTCTATTTGCGCCTCAGTTCATACACCCCCCCTTGCTGGTGTCTGGAAGGTCTTCCAAATGTGTCCAACTGCGTCTTCCTTGTAAAGCTTTTCTGGGTTTGGGCCCGGCCGCTCCCCCCCAGCCCCCGCCCCCGCCCCGCTGGATTGCATTCTCCTAGAAGGCAGGGAGCCGGTCTGCTGTCTCCAATTGCACACGCAGCACAAGTATGTACAGAGCCGCGCAGAAGGACACGGAACACGCGCTGTGAAACGTGCTAACTTGAAGTAAGCCCCACGATGATGACAAAGCCCCTGCAAACTAACTCTCCGTCTCTGTGACCCCCCAACCCCAGGCACAGGGTCTGGCTGCCTTTACGCTGCCCCCCTCGCAACGCCCAGCACCAGTGTCGGGTCCGACAGGACAC